CAGGCTGGATGGTAATGTGTTCCTGTCTCTCTATCAGTAATTAAATTTACCGTTCTCATAGTTCCTCCATGACCAGCTCTGCACTGAGCTGTGCTGCTTTGGGAACCAACTCCAAATTACTCCTTAGTGTAGATACATTGGCTTAACTAAAGCAAGGGAGCCCACCAGTGACTTACAGTATGTATGTGTGCATTTTTTTCTCTTTCTTTCTTACATAAAGCTCTTAATGAGCCTGAGATGAGATGTGTCCAATTTAACCAACACCCCTCCCTTCTTCTGAGTAACTCCCCTGTTGACTGTGATGATGCCGTAGGAAATAATGACATAGAGAGGGAAGCTTCTCATGGTACTGTGAATACAAGTAGTGAAGAGGTAAGAATGATACAAATCATTTCTGACAATGTCAACTAAAGGAGTCAACTTTAAACTTCACAGCAGCACTCAGCTTTGTTGTGCTAGGCTTGTCTGAAAATGACGCCCCTCTTTGCATGAGCCTCATGGGAAAACACCCTCAAAATGTTATTTAAGTTAATGTTAGACTGTGTATGTTGGTGGGATTGAAATTTGTAATACTTATCCGTCATGACGCTTATTATATGGCTTATAAAATTTGAGTTTGGTTGGTCAATCAATCGTAAATTCAATAGTTAAATATTTTTGTATAATAACTGCTAAAATGTGGTTCATGGCCTCATACTGGTACTTTTATATTCCAACAAAATTGCTGCCAAAGCTCCACATACTGACTGTAGTAAAATACCTTTGTAAGACTTAATAATATTAATTTGAGTATACATGTTTTCTAGATGTCTAGAGGTTCAGGGGCCAAGTTAAAGCAAGAAAATGAAAACATTGATTAAAAGAATAATAACAACCCTTGAGAAACATTGACTTTGATGAAGTCAATGTTAAACATTGATGAAGATTAATAACGATTATTTTGCTATTGCAATATTATTGTAGAATATTTGCTAGCCCAATTGTTTTCGAATGTTGTAATGATTGTTTTTCATAGCAGAATCTTAAGATAATCTGCAAGACAATAGAGATTTGGAGATTTGTGGGATGCACATCCAGGGCATGAAGCTCCCGTTCCACCCTATCCCAAAGATGCTCTATTGGGTTGAGATCTGGTGACTGTGGGGGCCATTTTAGTACAGCGAACTCATTGTCTTGTTCAAGAAACCAATTTGAAATGATTCGAGCTTTGTGACATGGTGCATTATCCTGCAGGAAATGGCCATCAGAGGATGGGTACATGGTGGCCATAAAGGGATGGACATGGCCAGAAACAATGCTCAGGTAGGCCGTGACATTTCAACAATGCCCAAATGGCACTAAGGGGCCTAAAGTGTGCCAAGAAAACATCTCCCACACCATTACACCACCACCACCAGCCTGCACAGTGGTAACAAGGCATGATGGATCCATGTTCTCATTCTGTTTACGCCAAATTCTGACTCTACCATCTGAATGTCTCAACAGAAATCGAGACTCATCAGACCAGGCAACATTTTTCCAGTCTTCAACTGTCCAATTTTGTTGAGCTCTTGCAAATTATAGCCTCTTTTTCCTATTTGTAGTGGAGATGAGTGGTACCCAGTGGGTCTTCTGCTGTTGAGGCCCATCCGCCTCAAGGTTTTGCATGTTGTGGCTTCACAAATGCTTTGCTGCATACCTCGGTTGTAACGAGTGATTATTTCAGTCAAAGTTGCTCTTCTATCAGCTTGAATCAGTCGACTTATTCTGCTCTGACCTCTAACATCAACAAGGCATTTTCGCCCACAGGACTGCTGCATACTGGATGTTTTTTTCCCTTTTCACACCATTCTTTGTAAACCCTATATATGGTTGTGTGTGAAAATCCCAGTAACTGAGCAGATTGTGAAATACTCAGACCGGCCCGTCTGGCACCAACAACCATGCCACGCTCAAAAGTGCTTAAATCACCTTTCTTTCCCATTCTGTTTTGGAGAACAGGAGATTGTCTTGACCAGGACCACACCCCTAAATACATTGAAGCAACTGCCATGTGATTGGTTGATTTAGATAATTGCATTAATGAGAAATTGAACAGGTGTTCCTAATTATTCTTTAGGTGAGTGTACATAAAGATATGGTGGAATCTGGCTTGTCAAAATTAGCCGGAATCTGCTTGCACGCTTTAACCTCGCACACAAGCAGATCCGTTTGCTCTTTGGAGAGGCGTTCGGTCTGTCCACTTGCATATTCCACCATGTAAATAGTGAATCCGCCATAGCGCGAGTGCAACTGACTTTTGAAGGGAATGGGAGATGAGACCCTGGTTGGCTTATTTCACATTACGCCCAAAACACACCCATTACTCATTAAGAGAATGGGGACAACCTTTTTAGACCATGCGCCACGCGCCCTGACCATTTTTTCCCATTGTTAAACTAGCAAAAGTGGATTATGCCACTTGTGCCCTGCGTATTAGACCATGTGCTTAGATCATTAAAATAGGGCCCAAAGTGTGTGAGTTTGGCATGCAAATATCCCAATCCTTTTCCATTTGTTTTCTACTCCCATTTAAAATTTCATATGCCTATTTATTTTGTTAGTTGCATTTAGCATTATTTTTTCCCCTGCTGTCGTATGACCCAGAGAACCACTGTAGGAGAGAGAACTGACCCTACCTTGTCCCACCATCAAGTCAGACAAACCCCAGCAATACATTCCAGTCTAGACCCAGAAACCACCTGCCAAAGCAGACAATCTGAATTTTGTGGTGTAAAAAAAAGAAGAAGAAGAAAGAGTGGCGTGATGTAAAGGTAGTGGAATGAGGATGTATTTGCCTGTGGGGAAAAAAAAAGACTGAAAGTAGGCTGGCAACAGATGTGTAGGGCAGTAAAAGTGTAATTGAAATGCCAGCAGCAATGGTCTTATCTACCCGTTCCAGCAGCTACCTTGCGTCTGAACATCAGTTAAATGTCATTTTAGCCCTGGCTGATTCAGGCCGACCACAATCCCCCATCTTCTGTGACTGCAGCCACTGATGGGAGGGGAACAGCGGGATGGATAGATGGGGGGGTTGTGGAGAAAGCGGGCACTGAGAAAAGGAGAGAATGATTGTAATTGGATTTCGTTTGCACACTGTTGACTTCCATCACCTGGGCTTAATTGGGAATTTGATATGATTTATCACATTTACAGTTTGGGCATGTCATTATTAGCTTTGTCTTTACTGTTTATACACTTCATATTTCATAAACTTCATTCTCCCATTATATGTTAGAAAAAAGGGTTCAAAGAAGAATCCACCTGTCCTCAATGTGTCCCAATCATGCTGCAGTGACCCCAGGTCTTCACTACCCTGCACCACACTTGCGTCAAATGGGTAAAAAGAGGGATGTGACAATAGAGCACCCCTAACTGTAGGTAATAGGCCTTAAACCAGACACCAGACTCCAAATCATTTGCTTCTACTGCACAGTAGAAGTAATGTATGATGCCTGTAAAAGATATGTACCTCTACCAGTGGGAAAACTTTTTTTTGATTTGAGGTTGTGTCAATTATAGAATCATGGCTTAAGCAAATTGGTATTGGTCATAATTGTGCTTTAATTATTATTATGAATAGTATGAATTATTTTGTTCATGACTACAACTACATTAGCATTATCTAAAATAAATATTATTACTTAATTTGTATGTTTTTTTAGTTTTTTTTTTAGCTTTGGTCTCCCATTCCTATTCATTTTCAGTGCATAAAAATATTGATGCAAACTGTCACAAACTGTTCCTCTCTTAGTGCAAGGGGTTATGGGTAATATTAGCCCAAGTACCCACTGAAAATATTCCCCTTTTGGAATACTAATTTGATTTGGGACATACCTCTATATCTGTATACACTATGGGTAGGATGCAGCTTGAGTGTTCTCTAGGTCCACCAAACCCTGCGTCTCTTCACCTCTAAACAGCCTGATCTTCACTTCCTGCAGTGTTGTGTTTCTTTTTAAACTACAGTTGCAGACAGTGTTTTGTGTTTTGTGCAGTTCCATATGTTGGTGGAAATGTTGAGAAACTCACATCCTTCTACAGTTTTGCCTCAATTGTGTCGCATGTGTTATAAGTTCACACAATCTTCGCATTACGTAGTCAGCGAGATCCTGCAAGATTCTTTTAACACGTTTGGTGTCTCGTACAGCACTTCCCATTTGCGCTGCTAATTTTGAAACTCACTGTGAGGTTTCTTGAAGAGAAGCCCGATTGAGTATTTCTGATCTTTGCTGTTAGTTTTAATGGTTCATAAACTTTTTATTTTGTTTGTATGTTGTCAATATGATTACAAAGCACCACAAATGGTTCCATCTGCCTATGGTGACACACAACAATTTATCAGAAGCTGCAAAATACTTAGTGCCATCAAAGTTCAATTTCAATGTTTTATTTATCAAATTCATAACACACAGTATTTGCGGACATTTTTAATGTGCTATAAAGGTCAGACTGCTGCTATGATTACCACAGAATTGTATCTACCGTCACTATGGCATCTCTGGGGCATTTATGATTCAGCAGAATGGACTGGATCCAAGCCCTTCCCTGGAGAATGAAAAAAATTGCAAAGTTCATGGCATAGAATGTAATACATATAATCAAGGTTTGTTTTGTTTGAGATCGTTTGCATTGGCAACTCGGTGAGAATCAATTTCATGCTTTTTTATTCCCTGTAAGCCACTTTATTTATGTATGTATTTATTTTAACATGTATTTATTTATTGTTTCTTTATAGTGATCTAAACAATTTAACTCTCCCTAAATGTCACATACAACAAAAACTAAACTCAATTTCTATTACTGTAAGTCCATTTTAATATCATTTCGAAGTGCACATTTATAGTTTTTGTTTTTCAGTTTCAAAAAGCATGTCAACTCTCATTTTTGTAGGTTTTTTTCCACCGCTGTGCGCATTTTCATATATAATAAAATAACCTTGGTTCCATCTCACAGAAATATCTGTTCTTTTATTGTTTCAGAGGGTGATTTTCAACATTGTGAACTTCAGCAAGACCAAGAGCCTGTACAGAGATGGGATGTCCCCCGTGGTGAAGTCGACCAGCCGGCCTAAATGGTATTCATACCCTCTGCAAATATCACATCTCCACCTACACGCTGTTCACCACTGCGCTTTCCACGCTTTAATTCCAAATAACAAATCCACGACTACTCTTCCATGTGTAGTTTCCATGTGTGTAATGCTGGCCCAAGCATGGGTTCCACACATGCCCTGCAGACTCGGCGAATAAGACTTGACTGTGTACACTCTCGTCATTTCTGACTCACAATATCGGTCTTATCTCTCTTCCACAAACAACAGGATTTTTCGTTACTACCTCTTTTGAGTTTTTAAACTGCCTGTGTTCCTTAAAGGAAGCATTCAACACTTTCTCACTTTCTCTTCCTTCTCAAAGTTGACAATGGTGTGTTTGATGTTCCAGATGAGAGGTTGTGTTGCTGGGGATGTTTGGTCACCATGGTGACGCCATCTGGGTTGAAAAAGGGACAGTAACAGGGCTGTTGATAGAGGAATTGTAAGAAATGCCAGGGAAGGAAGTGAGCTTCAGGCTGGACAAACTCATCATAGGCGCCATTTTCTCTAAACGTGTTTGTGTGTGTCTTTTAATCAGCTTGTCTCTTTGCGCTCTGTCAGCGGTAGGGTTGGTTTTATTAGACACACATCTGCCTTCATGGAGGAGGAGATGCGTGAAAGACAAATGTAGTCCCCTAGCTGTGTGTATTTTTGGATGTCTCTTAAATGGCTACATTTATTGCATCAATGTAAAGATAAGATCAAATCCTTCCTGCTCTATGTGAGATCTGATATTCTTCACATATGGCTTATTTGATCTCTTGTCTATGATTATTCCAAATGCTAAATCTCCATATACACATTTAAAGACTCAGTGTCTCAGTTTTGTTTTTGTCTAGTTGTTGTGTACTTTAATAATCACAGCCTAGATGTGTCAATTACAACATATCTCTGATTATTTATGTTTTTCACACAAATTTGCTTTTATTGTTATTATAAATCATTATTATTTCATAATATGAAGTATTATTACAGAATAAATCCTTAAATTCATGACAATAAATTAAAGTGGGAGGAATTAAAAATATATCATATATTATATTAATTATATTTATTAGTGAAAACAGTGGTTTAATTTTTAATGTTTTGGAAAAAGACTATTACTATACCCACCAAGGCTAAATTTATTTGATAAAAAATTACACATTATATTTATGCAAAGGGAAACTGATATTAGAGCTTTAATAGTTTTTTGTTTGTTTGGTTTTTTTTTCACTTATAGCAGCGTCTTATAGTGTATGACTGCTTTTATAGTGTGCCTGTGTACTTTGAGCACTTTCCAACAACTTTGGAAAAAGTTAAGTTTGCAAATCCCTAATTACTAAACACATACCCTGACACACACACACACACACGCCGATACATCCACGCCTCCTATCAGTATCAATCAGAGTTGTGCATTACCATTCAAACACTCATCTGCCAGGTTGAATTTTCATGGGTCATGCAGTCTGGGCAGGTGAGGCCTGTCAGAGGTAATAGCAGGGAACTGATGGATGCAGAAGTGTGTGTGCATCCATACGGGTGCGTACGAGAGCCACTACGCCACGTTATCCTGACACGCCGAACAGAGGTCATGTGACAGAAAATACCCGCTCAACGGAATCCTTGACATCTGTCACGAGTCGATCAAGGGCATTCAGACAAATGGCAGGCATCTGCCAAGGGAGCCTGTCTTCCTCTGCCAAACCCTGGTCACGGCCTAATGGGACAAGACAATTAGATGGAGATGCTGCCGGAAAACAATGGACTGCAAAACATTTCACAGTCAAGCTGACGTCTCCTACGTGCCCATGTTCAACATTTCCCTCAGGAGAGTGCTAGAGGTATTTAAGAGTTTGTAGCAAGTCATATCTCAGTTTTTATAGGCCTGCGCCCCTCAAACCTCTCTTCAGAAAATGAATTGCTAAGGTAGCACAATTGTGATAAAAAAAAAATACATGTTTTAAAATACATTTATAAATACACACAATTACATAATATTTCATTCATTTGTGCATCATTTGACAATATTGCAGCTTAATTGGAAATGATCCAGAATAAAAATAGTATGCTCACAAATTAAATTTACATTGATTTTCACTTTTTGTTCAGGTTATCATAGTTTTAAAGCATGCAACAATTTGTGTTTTAGTGATTTTCGTACTTTAAGATCTACATACAGATCAGGTACGAGGTAAAAACATTACAAATCATTAAAAAAAAAAAAAAAGCAAAAATAAAGTATGGAGGCTTGGTAAAAGTTTTTAATGTGACCTTAATACAGTATAACCGAAAAGAAAAAATTTCATCAGTTTTTGTTGGTTTTAGTAAAAATCAACCCCTTGGAGATAATTTTGTCCATAACTGAAGAAACGCCTGATTTTTAACATTAATAACTGCTACAAAAATAAACAATATGAATAGAAAAACAGGAGTAGACCTTAATAATTGACCTGATTAGCTGTAATCCTGCTCTCAACCATGTACACTACAGTATATC